TGCTTTTGCCTTACACAATGCAGCAGCACAGAAACAGGCCTACGGGTAATGTGCATGCACGCTTTTATGCAAAGTGTACAGTATGTGAGCACACAGTGGGAGAAGGAGGGGCTCGATATGACAGTTTTCCCTCTTTCATTAATGTACTCTTTGCACTTAACGACACAAGATTTCTAAACGGTAGGCAGCTTATTCACAGCAAGGAACTCAAGAGACCTCTGCCAACTTCGTCAGCGGAATAAAATGCCATTCTTAGTGTGAGAAATGACTCAATGCCAAATTCTGTAAATACAGTAACCTGTGACTCCATGTCTGCTGGAGTGATAGATTGGATACATATTTATAGATTGTTTAATAGACGGGATTAGATTTAGGATATCTGTGAGAAAAACTGTAAATTGTACCTGAAACGATGTAACCTGGAAAATACAGGGTTTATGTAGGTATATCATTATTCATTAACATCTTAAATAGGAGATGTTCTTTGGATTTAGATATTTTTTTTAAAAACACTGGGTGGGGGAAATAACGGATTGAATTTAAACTATAAAACTAAAAATGTTGTTGTGACGCACATATGCCATGCCTTCAAACAATAAGCATGTCTAATACATTGCTGGGGCTCGCACGGACACAAACTAACAGAAAAATGACCGTGAGGGGATGTTTTATAGAACTGTCATCATTCACTTCAGCTCATAAAAAATAGCAGAAAAGCGCCCTCAGCCCTGAGAGCAGAATGGCTGTTGAGTCGGACGAAACATTCATCTGCCACTTCCTTTATAGGCACAGGCACAGGCACAAGGCAATAAGCAGGTTACCTCGCTGTTGGTATTTGCTGCCTCTCTCTGCTTTGTGCCTACAGGTGATGTGAAGGAAAGCTCAATAAATTCAGCCAGTCTGTCAACAAACTGTTCTTTACGTGCATATGTGGAAAGTGGAGCTATTTATTTTAGCATGAAAAATAAATGTGTCCCGTCTTAAAGAGCCCGGGGCCGCAATCCACACAGAGCTGAATGGTCTGCTACACCCAGCTGAGCTACATAACATCTCACATGTTTCACACATACACTGGGCTACACACACTGCTTTATGATTCTTCTTCTTGGTCCCAATTATTTTTTATTTGACTGTTTTTTTGAGTACATCACATATAGTATCCTAATTTCATCTTTTTCTCGTCTGATCTCGCAGAGGATAATGTTTCAGGTAATGAATGCTACGAGGGGTAGATACAGGAGACGGGAGCGAACAAGAAAAGAGGGAGGCTTTGTCATCTCAGACTCCGTCTCTGCTATTCAGAGCCAGCAGTACACATCACTTCCACTCCTCTCAGCACAATGAGCCTGAAACATCAAAGCGGAGACCAGGAGGGAGAGAGCGAGAAAGACAGAGAGAGAGAGAGAGAGAGAGAGAGACAAAGCGTAAAAGCGAGTCAGGAAAGAAAAGTGTGACAGGAAAAAAAAAAAAACAGGCCCCGAATACCTGTTTATGTGGCTATGTAAGGCATCATTACAGCAGGCTCTCTCCATGCTGTTCTGCTCCCATGGACACTGAATGCACCTCTGTCTTTTCCACAGTATATAAATAATGGTAATAGTCTAAGTAAACAGACTCAGTGCTCTCTAATAAAAAAAAGCAAATATTCATGTATGCACGAGAACATTGATGGCCTTCCCTTCGGTTGGTATCAAGCTTTTTATGCAGTGAAAGTGGAAATAAGCATTCTCGTAGCACAGTCTGTCCAAACTATGAGCTAATAATAAATGAAATGGTAGAACAAAAAAAGGTAAGAAATGGGAGTAAAACATCTGGGTATTAAAGCAGTGAAAACTGTGAACAAAGGGTTAGATATTTGGAGGCCATTAAGGGTTGATTGCCTTGATATTAAAGGAAAATACGCAGAACGTCCGTCTCTTTATAACTGTTTGACACCTGGAATCAATACTGTACATTTTACCTCGTCAGAGCTTGGAGCCTTATTTTAATTTCAATTTCAGCTCATATTTCTGAGTCTTGAATGGTAATTTGCTGAAAAAAATTAATGCAAATGAGACGCTCACTCTCTCGCTCTTATTGTGGAGTGATTAACATTCCCTCCAAAGATCAGAGCAGTTTTCTCAGCTCCCCTGGTTGAAATGCTAATGGTGCTTCCAACCCAGTTTAATGTCAACCCTATTCTACTTTTTTCCTAGTCAGGGAGGAGCTCCCTGTCTCTATTTCCATACACAGCAGCAGGAGGGACAGACAGCAGGCTTACTACCCCATCTGGATCTAGGGAATCAGCCAAAGACAGAGAGAGGGAGAGAGAGATAGAGATAGAGAGAGAGAGAGAGAGAGAGAGAGAGAGGAGGAACAGGAGGAGGGTAGAGGAGGATCCTCTTGTCCATGCAGGAGTGTTTTTGGAAAGGTAAAGCAATGAATCCAGACTGTAAAAAAACATACTTTGCCTCTGTAGAATTTCAACTCGTTCTAAAGGGGTTCAAAAAATAACCAATGAAGGCTTCATACCGGGAGAGAGTGACAGGTCTTTGTAGTTTTTCTCTCCCCCTATTGATCGCATTTCTTTTATATCCACCGTATTAATTTTTATTTCCCCGTACGGACCACTGGGTTTAATTCACAGGAGACCAAACAGTATCTAAACACAACAGAAGTCTGAGTGAAGCAATGCACGACCTGCTGGTCTGGAGGTTTTTAACATTCATCTGTAAAAGGTGTGCAATACTGGTCCATTCACTGCTGTGAAATAAGTATGAGACAGGGCTTTTGAAAAACACAGCTTTTCCGGGACCTCAACACTGCACTCAGGTCTATGAAACATCTACAAACGAGGACGAGATTGGGACGAAAGAAAGAGTTCTACAGAGCTGTAATATTGACAGAATATCTGATATAGGAGAAGACTGTGTATCAATGTTAACACCTGTGCAATCACTTTTTTTTGTTGTATATTTTGATGTCATCATTTGCGGCATATGTTTAGGTTCAATAAAAGCTGGGACACAGGGAAGGGGGTCATGAGATGCCTTCCAAAAACATACAAATATGAAATGACTTAAAATTGAATATTTGACCCATTATTGTGAAATAGTCCTTAAGTGAGATTTGTGCTGAAATGAAAGTAAAACAATTTGACTAACACTGTAGGTACCTGTTGTGCTCTTTGTTTTACTTATTTAAATTTTTCCAAGGCTCTGCTGTATTCTTTAGTGTTGTTTTAATGTCAGCGTTTGGATAGGCCTATTGGTTTCCTTGCTGCCTATGCACAACGTTAAATGCTTTAAACCCTTCCAGGGACAGAGGGTGTCCCCCATCTTTCACATCTTTAATTTGGGGGTCGCGGGATGAAAGGTTTGGGAACCCATGGCTTATACAGTATGTACTCTGTAATATTTCTTCTGCATTACTTCACCATCATAATGAGCACCACTTCATTTTCAACACTTAAAAATCCAATATCTTCACATCCTCTTGTTTCATCATTCAGTGCTGCTATTGCAATTATTATAATATTATATTCATATTATTTTGTCGGTTGTCCCACTCTCCTTAGCTTCCATTATGTTCTGCTTTATTTCCTTCTTACTGTCATGGTGTTAGTGTCACTTTTGTTTTCATGTAATTTCATCATTAACAAAAAAAATTACTTGCTTTATTTAAGTTACATTGTAAACACATACATGGCGTCAGTGTGTTAGAAGCCCAGGAGGTCTTGTCCCGGCAACAGACGCCAGGCTCTCAAGGTAGACGGAGCTCCCCCCAACCAATCAGCGAGGCAATCTGGCACGACTACCACCCAACGTCACCGACGCCCAGCCACAACCATCGGACTGCGTCGTCAACCACCTCCGTCCTCATTCATGCACGGCCTGCTCAGACCGCCACCTCAGCGGCAAGGAAGTGTGGACAACAGAAACGCAAGGAATACAAAGGAGAAGTCCTTCCTGCATCTCATCCCGTTTCCCCCTATTCCATTTTCATTTTGTAACAAAACAGTCAGTAAGGTATTTTACCTTACCTTTTGTAAAGCATCTCCAGATAATATTTGTAAAGAATTGACGCTATACAGGACAAATAAAGATTGATTGATGTCAAAGTGTAAAATGCTAACATTCATGTCGTTAAGTTAATACAGTAAGTGACCTGTCATGTAAAGGTCTGGCTGCGGCTCCCAGGTAAGTAGATGCCTTTCAAAGTTAAAACCCAATTTTAACAGAGAACCTGCCAAATGGAATCAGCTCATGGAAATTAGGGTTAAATAAAAAGAAAGTTGTTGTAAGATATTGTATCAGCTACTCAGTATTCCACACATCTAAGCCCTGTCAGAGATGCTAACACAGAGGCAACCGGAGATCAGTCCAGGGATGTGGGAGTGACAGCAGCGAGGGAATTAGTGGTGTGATGACTGTCAACATACAATCAGCGCTGCGGTATTGTTACAAGGCTCATGTTGTTTAGTTTGGAGTTATTAGCTTTCTGAACATAGAGTCAAATCACTTGTAAACCACCCCCCCCCCCGCCCAGCTGCCACTCATCCAGAGCTGCAAGACTTCAAGAAACATGCTTTGAGTTACAGTTTGGATTTGTGCGTTTCCTTTGTACACAGCCTTCATATGAGCCCTTTTCATTTGTGTGGATGTGGATGTGTTAACAAGTCATTAAAGATGATTTCTATAGCAGTGAAGAGAAAGGTGACTGCAACTGAAAACTGATGGTGTATAATCACACAGCCTCCCAGACTCTCTCTGAGCGAGACATGGACATATGCCAAGGTCCTTCGTCTAATAAGCTTGTTGTGTCAGTAACAAAGTGCAAACTAAATAGGCAGAGCTTTATGAATGTGCTATGACAAGATACAAGACTGCAAGATCAAAGACATATAAACAGAGGGATTTCATTGAAGAAAGGCTAAAAGAAAGTAGTCAATGCTTCATATACGCAGTTGTTACAAAGAAAACAACGGTGAAATGTATATGTTTTTTGTAGTTTTCTCCTACCTTTGGGTCAGCAGTGAGCAGCTTGAAGGCCTCGTACACCTGCCTCTCTTGGACTCCTCCCCCCAGGTCCAGGAAGTTAGCTGGCTTTCCACCATGCAGGTCAATGATGTCACATGTGGCCATGGCCAAACCAGCTCCATTCACTGTAAAAAAAAAAAAAAAACTTTGTAAATGGACTTGAGCTTGTACAGCTCTTCACACCGCATGTCACACCTACACATTCGGTCCATCAGAAGTAACTAATTCCATTTATACACATACGCCGCCGCCAAAGCAGCAGGACATGTTGCTACAGGAGCTGGGGATCGAACCCCCAACCTTCCGGTTGAGAGACGACCGACTCTACCAACTGAGACTCAAATTTGTCAGTTCATGTAGTTTGTAAAAATGTAAACTGAGATACAATGTATTAGATAAGACTCGTTAAGCCAAATGGAAGGATTTTCCACAAATAGACTTTCCAGGTATGTTTTGGCCTTTTAACTTTTTTTTTTATTATTATTTTTTTTTAATTAGTCCAAGTGAATGGAGCCAGAAGGGTCCACACAAATGCTTTACAGGAAAACAAGGAGTGAGCTAACTAGAGAGAGAGAAGCCCCCTGGAATATTCCTCCTTTTAATGTATTAACTGGAATTGTGACCTCTACTTTTTAATTAAAAAAATCTACTCATGTCACTGTTTTAAAAGCCTGTAAGTGGTGCCAATGTCAATTGTTTTCTTGGTCGTGGTTATTCCCATATGCTATGTCATGAGTGTGTGATAACTGTATCAAAGGGGAACAAATACAAACCTTTGGATTGCTGACAAGAATTCTCACAAGAGCAAACACATGAAGTCAGAGAGAAACAGACTGAAGCAACACAGGGGAAAGTCGCCTTATGCAGGTAGAGACCTCAGGTGTCGTGTATGTGTGTGAGGAGAAAAGAGCATGAGGGAAGCAAGGTGAGCTGGTATCTATTCAAATAATGTTAAAGGAGAGAATAAGTTCAGCAGAAATTGTAAATTAAATGAGATCTATTAAGCTGATTCATATACATACAGTATGATGTTATGAAGTTGAATGTCCATACTAAACCTCGGCTAAGTTTTTTTTAAAACACAAGATACACAGTTGTTGTCGTTTTCCCCCGGACGTGGTTTCCTGCTACTCTGAACGAGATGTTACGAGAACGTTGTGAGACTTGTCCAGGACCTGACTTCAGTTTATGACGACATATTACAGCAAAGAATGGACGGAAGTTGTAAGACATGCCCGACCTGGCAGTTCTTTTAAGGACACGACCACCCAGATGCTCACTAGATTCTCCCTGTGACTTCCAACAGAGCTGGAGGGGGGCCTTAAAGAGACAGCAGCTGAAATTAACCGTTTCAGGGAGAGGCTGAAATCAGGGATTTTACTAATGCAAGTATATGATAAATAAGAAGGTTTTTTTTTAGCTACACATCTGCAACACTTCTCAGTAGGTGTCCGAGACTGACATAATTAACGGTGAAAGTGAGAATAATAAATGTCCTTTAAGAGAAGGCCTTTTTTAAAAAGTAAAATGTTTGCCTTCAAAAACGTTCAACAGAGAAACGAGTCGCCACGCTGTGGTGCTGTGAGTAAACACTGCAGAGTGAGACTAATGATGTCTGCTGTACCAGTTTAATATCTCAAGAGAGTGTTAATATGACTATGGGATAATAAAGAAAAAATGTTGAATGTATAATATGTATTTCTAAGGCAAGGCAAAATACAGACAGGAAGTCCAGGCTGAAGTCCATTTTTCAGAAACTAAAACACAAGTCCTTGAGAAGAAAGTGTGACGCCAGCAGCCATGAATGGAGTAAAAAAACCATTTTCAGCCACTGAAGCAAAGAAGTCATATACTTCAAAAAAAACAAAAAACACAAAAGAATCCAGCAGGAAATTGTGAAAAAAAATGTCGCCCTTAAGAAGAATCGGCTGGAAATCTTCTAATCAGTAATACTCAATGCGTCAAGACGAGCAACACAGAGAGAATTTGATTATGACTCGTCTCTCGACTTCAGAGAAAAAGCGTTGATTAAAAGAGATTCTGCTACACTTTTTTTTTTTTTTTGTGTGGCCTGTGTCATCATTTAGCCAACTGCCAGCCCCGGCTTCCCTGCTGGGTTGTGCCGGAGCCAAGTGCACAAAAAAAATGTCTTACCTCATTTGGTTTAGCCTGGCTGAACTCGCGTCCTGGCGAGCTTGCCGACCAAGGTCTCAATAAAAGGGAAATTTGCTCTAACAGCTGTCACTTTGGTGGCTTACTGAGCTCTCAAGGAAGCTGCAGGGCCTTAAAAGCTGTTTTAACTTTAAGACAGGCTGGGGGCTGGCTGCAGATGCAGAGTGTTGGTGTGTGCATGAGTGTGTGTGTTTGAGTGTGTATCGGGGAGTGTGTGTGTGTGTGTGTGTGTGTGTGTGTGTGTGTGTGTGTGTGTGTGTGTGTGTGTGTGTGTGTGTGTGTGTGTGTGTGTGTGTGTGTGTGTGTGTGTGTGTGGGGGGGGGGGAGAGGTAGTGCTAACAGACATCTAATGTGTTTATGAGGCTACGGGGTAAGGAGCGTGAGCACCTGTTAGTGCTGCTGTACACTGTAAAAGCTTTGATTTATGACAAGAGAGGAGGCCTTTAATGAGAATGCTAACAATCTGGCTCACTGGAGACTTTCTGGGCGGATTATAGCTAATTAGAACGCATTGGTTACGGCAGCATTCCTTCTGGAGTGCTCGGAAAGCTGCTTGTAACGTTGACTGGAGCAGAGCAGAGGCTGCTTTTACTTTGACTAAGTTTTTAACCGTATCCGAGCTTTCCACTTATATGACTTTAGAGAGGTGTTACAGCCTGACTTTAGAAAGGGGTTCACTTATGGGAGAGTTTATTTAATGCGAGGTGAATGTGTGAAGGAAGGAGTTCAGTTACTGGGATTTTTGTTTCCGTACCAAAGCAGGCGATGTTTCCGTCCAGTCCAATATATTTGAGGTCCCATTTGGCTGCCTGCGTCTCCGTGGGGTCACTCTCGGACATGTCGTCCATGGCGAACACAGCTTTCTGACGGAACTCTGCGTTGTCGTCAAAGTTGATCTTAGCATCAAAACAAACCACTGGAGAGACGAGGAAATGAAAAATAAAAGTGAGGAATGAAGACAGCAAGAGAGAAAGCACAAAAGTCAGACAGAAGGAGATGGTGACTGAGGAAGACGGGAAAAAAACATCACTTCATGCACAAACACCAGACTTATTAGCACTTCTAAACGTGGAATTAATGAACTGAGGGCTGTCCCATCGGCCTACTGGTCTTAATTATTTCAGAAGTTGTGTCAGTTAGGGATGGGTTTTTGACTCTGCCTCTAAGGGATAGACCATTACAGTATAGTAAATGGACTCTTCCTTTACACTTCAAAGAGAGCACATTTCAAAGAGAGCACACTCATGAAGCTACCTGAGGATGAAAAAAACAAAAAACAGGCCAAAAATGTCATAAATTAGTTGAAGCTCTTTTTTATGTAAAAACACTTGAAAAGTGACTGAATCTTAAAGGCTTGTCCTTTCATGCTGACACCACTGAGATGATGAGAAGATTGAGTCCATTTCACGTCTCCTCTGTAAAGAATGTAGCACCTTTAAAGATCACTTTTGTGTTTTTGAAATTGTCTAGAGACAAAGCACATCTATGTTGTGGTCTGTTGTTGGTGGGGCTTATATTTGGACTTGCTTTTTCATGTTGTTCCATCCAGAGCTGTTTACTGCACATCAGGCAGCTCTGTTAAATAAACATGAGTTTGAATCTGATTAATAAAACTAACTGCACTGCACTTTATAACCGGACATTTAACTGACTTCATCCAGCCGGTAACCCTAGTTCAGTGGTATCCAAAGTGGGGGTCAACCCCCCGGTTGGGTTATGAGCCTCCTATAGGGGGGCCGCTAGATGCCTTCCAAAAGAGCTAATAACATTTAAAAATCATTTAGACACATTTTATGGAAAAATTACTTATGAAAACCTTTATTATCAACTTGTTTGAATAAATGATATATCATTATTGTAACACAGCAGCCAGATAACTGATGTTTAATAGTAATAGAAGGTAACAAAATCTTTAAACGTGGGAAATGGTTTTGTGTCGACAACAAACAGACAAAAAGAACAAACAAGACACAAACAAAGGCACATATTACTTAGCAGGCAGACTCTTGTGGGACTGGGGAGCGTAAACAAACTGTTTCCTCAAGGTAAAGAAACATTTCCACTACACAATTCCTTTTTGTTTTTGTTTTGACACTTCTATTATTGCAGACCATCTACAAAATGAATTCAGCTATTACCAAATGAGACAAAAAAATACAAATTCTCTACCCTAGAGAAATGTTCCTCTCCACCGCATGTTTGTCGAAAGCCTGCCGGAAAATAGCTGTGCTCCCTTGTGACATGTTTGCAAATCCAACAAAAAAAACGAGCTTATTTTAATGTGAAGCTTGTCTACAGAGCCTGCCTCAATCACAGAAATTACTTAGGAAAGGAAAGTTATACCTCTGAAAGCAGTCATTTTATTTATTCATATTCATAAGAAATCATGAAAAAACAGAGTACTTTTGTTAGATGTTGCTCAAACACCTCTGAACGAGAATCTGTTTTGGAAAAGTCTAAATAACATCAAAGAAGTGATGCATGTTCACCGTGTTGTAATGCGTCTCGAAAGGAGGCATCACATTCAATCGGTGTAACCCGCTACGGGCGAGACAATCGTTCTGATTTCTTGGGACAAAACAAAGTTCAGTGTGAGTTCAACAAAAGTAGTAGAATATGGTTCATGACAATTTATCATATCTTTCTTATGTGAATGCTGAGCTCTTGAAACGTTAGCAATGCAAACCTCGAAGTCTGTCATGTTGTCACCTTAAGAAACAACGAGGGACTGAGAATTACCATATCTCTGTTTCTGTTGTTGTCAATTCAAGTGTTTGCCTGTATCAGGTAACATTTATGACACATCACATTGAAAACAGATACTAACGGTTATAGCACCCTGGCTTCTTCGGGGCTTTGAGTGTATATACTGCGTGATTCAATATCGATGCAAGCTATCATTTGATATACAAAATATCCTAATATAAGCTTCAGAAGTAGAAAAACTTTAAAAAGAGGACACACTCTGTAGATCAGCTCATCCAGCAGTTCTTATGAAAAATGTAAAGAGGGCATGCAATGAAACTATGCTCCGGGTTACATCACTCCAACATGAATATAAAGGGAAAATCCATGTTTTTAGGCATGATGTCGATAATTATGTTGACAATGCAAAAGGGGTAATTCCTGTTTTATTTAAAGAGCCCATATTATGCCCTTTTTGGGAGTCGTATATTTAATCAATGTACCTACTTTTGTATGTTCACAATAGCTAAAATAAAAATAAAAAGTGTCTGTCTTCATGTACTGCTCCTCCTTGCTCCCTCTACGCTCTGAGTCTGTCAGCTTCACTCTGTTGAGCCCCCACTGTTAGACCCCACGTGGGCCAAGTCTGCTCTGATTGGTCTGCCGATCCGCTCTGTCGTTATTGGTCAGTTGCTCAGCACGCTTCTTGGAAATTTCAACATGAGCTGCTGGGCTTGCCACAACGAGCCAATGGACTTAGATCAGTGATCTCACACTGACAATGACGCCGCACTGACAAATCTTTATCGAGGGGGGCTAGAACCGAGCGTTACATGCAGCTAATGCTACAGTTAACAGGAGGACGTAGGAGAAGCCACGTTTTCGCGGACTTTGAATTTTTGCACATAGATGTGCCTAAACATGCAAAGGATACATGGAAAACACACTAAAGAGCATATAATCAATTACTGTACATAGCACAGACTCTTGCACTTTCTGTTTATTTGCACTTCTGGTGAGATGCCAAACCTCATTTCGTTACTCTATACTTGTATATGTGTAATGACAATAAAGTTGAATCTCATGTCATCTCATCTTATCTCAAAACCAGAAAAAGCATAATATGGGATCTTTAACACAGCATGGAGAGTCTCATTGAGAAAGGCCAACAGCTAATTTAGAGCTCAATTTCTTCTTAAATGAGTGGCACTACTTTACAGAGTCTATTTACAGTGTATGAACACTGAGTTGTGAATTGATATCTGAAGGTCTAAGGGAAGAGACTGACAATAATGACAATATTTAATACTCTATCAAAAATAAACTAGGGCCCAACCGATTTTTAGGGCCGATACTGATATTGATATTGGGGAGACCAAAAATCCGATACTGATATATCTGCGTATATCTATCATGGATCTACGTTCGATCTGTAGAGATAGATAAACATATTTATTGCTTTGATCCCTCAAAATGCAATAATCAAACACTTGATATCACATATGATCACATGATAAAGGCTAGACTGTGCGCTGATAAAGACAAAAAAGGATGATACAAATGTCTTTTCTAGTGCAATAACCTACATTTATCTCTCATAAGAACAGTTCTAAAGCTGTATATGAATGTTTCCTCTTAAATATGAGAAAAAGGCATATCTACACATAGGAGATTTGACCAAATGATTTCTTAAGGATACAAAACTGTAATTAAAAAACAATGGAGTTCTTAAAAGTTGTAGACAAAAGTGCAAACCCACACGTGTCTGGGGTTTCAACCTGAACATCAACCTTACAAAGCGCTCCCCTCGTAACTAAGCAACACAGGTTGTCTTAAAGGTACATTTCACAATTTTAACTGTTACAATATGAAAAAAGTTGTGTTTCAAGCACACACATTTAATTGTTAAATTACAAACATTTGAGTGAAATGAGGATAGAAGAAATGCATGAAGCTGGGTGACGTTATTTTTTTAAACTGCTAAAGCTTAGAATGTAAACAGTGAGTGAAAAAGAACGTGTTTAAATCGAGTTGATCTGATGTTTTGTCTTTATTTAGAAATCTGTGCAGTGTGATGTGTCTGTAGCTGCAGCAGTTATTTCTCACTGTGACTCCTCATTTCTAGCTGATGTCAGACTTTAGTTAATCATCAACAACAAGGAATCTTCAACAAACACCAACACACTCTCTCTGCTCCCTGAAGCCACTTGGTTTTTGATCCAGACAAAGTCATGCTGACAAGAAACTGACGTCAATGTGTTGCAATTACTCTTCACATAAATATATTCAGACCTGAGGAGAGAGTGAGCCTGTATTCCACGATAAGAGATAAGGATGGCTGCTTGTTCCAGCACTTTAACAATTCTCTTGTTAAAGTGTTTTAAACTTTAACACATGCTAACATGATTTAGAGACAGACAATGACGGGTTAAAACACCAACAAAGATACGTGCAGACACACACACATATACTGCACACAGAAAGACAGAGGACAAGTGAACACTCACATGAACACAAAGACAGGAATTTTTCCATGATACATCATACCTTGTCCTTCGGGAGTCTCGCCAAGAGGATTGACTTCGACTTGAGTGGCGTCGACTTTCAGGAACAGATCATAGAGCCTCTTAATCTGATCAGCCGCCTATGAGGTCCACAGAGGACAGTTATTACCTGATGGTTCAGCTCGACGCAGCAAGCACCACCAAAGCCACTCAACATCCCACTCAGGCTCCATAAGACATGTCAAATAACCCTCAACATCATGCTGTCCGACTTTGTTTTATAGGAATGTGTGAGTCTTTGTGCTAAAAGAGACTCTCTTCTTCTACTGTGAAAACTGTCAACACATGCTAACACTCTTTATATAAAATGATGCTAATTTCAGTAGATTCCTCCTTGTTGTTAGATTCAAACATATTATATTGGGTGCCTTGTTTCATGCAGGATGTATAGACGAATCCAGCGGAAAACGGGAAGTTGACAAGTTGCATTACTTCAATGGCGTCTCTCAAACAGCTGTGGGTTTGAAAGCGAGCTGTCCAAAAAACTGATAATTTTTCTACCTTCTAACATCAGCTTCAGAATCAGCGTTATTCATTTTTTGAATTGTATTTATAAAGGGACCATGATGTACAATATTAAACATAAATGTTACCATCTGATGTATTGTACCAGAGTTAGCTTAGAGCTTACGTCTGCAGTCCCTCAGCCAATATGTACAAGACTAAAAGAGACAACAGTGCAAAATGTTGATAAACATGATAATAAAATGTGTAATTATTTAACAGACAGGTTAATTTATATAACTTAATATACATGAGGTAGAGAGTTTCTGCAGTATTTTGGTCAGTTTGTGACTGATGATGTGTCTGCCTGTCTTTTGCTGTGCTCATTGCAGACCTTTCAGATATTTTCTTCAGTGGGCCCATTACCTGTCCCTGTAGAGTTCCTTGTGGAAATAACATGACTTTCTATGTAACTTTGTAACTTGTAACTTTACCTTATACAACCATGTTAAGGAGTAAGAAAGAACCTGTGGAGTTCTCAGCTGCTCTCACAGTCGTGACAAGCTACAACTTTGGCACCACCGAAAGATGGCAGCACCCACAAAATGGCTGTAGGAATTCATCTATACAAACAGTCAAAGATGCCAAAGAAGTGTAAAAGATGAACACATGAAATGAAAATAGCTACATTGAATTGCATCATCACGTAAGTCCTTTCTTTAAAGGAAGAATGTGCAACATTTTACACATAATACAGAAGAATTCAAGTATATCCTCTGTAAATGTCTCTCTGAGTCATGACAATGAGTGAGAAGCATGAGTCCAGCCAGCTGTTCTGTCGTCGGGCCGTGTTTACAGGGACTGGACGGCCTTGAGTATTAGTCGAGGACTAGCTAAGAATAACATGGCCTACTCACTGCTTATTTGCATGTCACATAAGTGTCTTTAGATCACGGTCAGTCCGTGTCAATTTATGTGCAATATGGAGCTATGAGTTAACCCAAGTGTGCTAACAGTAGCCTGCTAACACAACAATGCAGGCCACAGGCAATTGCTCGAGCAAAGGTCAATTTTGTACTTAATGGTGCTTAATTATGGTGCGTTCTAATTCGTAACTCCTCCGTGTGAGCGCAAGTAGAGAGGGGTTGGCGGTGTGTCGCTGGAGGAGGGTACAGGATTCAGAATAGTGGAGGTGTCACCCAACAGCAGTTTGTTTCGGTTTAATGCTAGTGCTCAAGGGCGACATCTAATGGATGAAAAAGTTACACATTCTTCCTTTAAAGCCCCCTTTTTAAAGTGATCTCAGCTGTATCTCTATTGCTGTTGTTCAGTAATACAGACAGCGGTGACATGGCATTGACTTACAAGAGTCAATGCACAGTTTCAGACAGTCGACTAATCTTACTGTCTTTTCTCTGTTTACCACACAACCACAAACACGTCTGTCCACAAGAAGATACTGTCATCCTTCACCTCTTGAAGACAGAAAAGGTATTTTAGATTTTTTTTTTTCCATTATCTCTGAATCAAACAATCTGGCAGCTGAATCACAGCAACCAAGGAGAAACACACTGACAGTGCAGTCACTTAACCAATCACTCTGGCTTTGTCTTCTCGCCCGTTTCAAATCAATGCCCATTCAGTATTCTGAAAAGAAAGGCACACATACAATGGGATGCAACAGAAGCTTAAACACCTTTGACTCTTAAGTCTGCTTCTTAGAAACAGACTCACTTGGATGATTTGTATGTATCCCGTGTGTTAAGATCCTAAGCTAATCTGATTTCTCATGCCACTGCGCCTGTGGAAAATAAAACAAATTAGTGATCTGATGCCAAGAGACAAATGGCTTTGAAATAAACCCAACGTCTAAGCACACACAAACCCACTGTGAATGTGAACATGTTGTGTTTCTGGGCGTTTCTTCCTTGGCACTACTAGCTCATGTTGTCGGAACAAAACTCATTAAACTTACGGTGACAGGATCTTTTTTTATGTTTCATTGTCCTCGAATAACAGGCCACCCGTTGAGAGAAGTGTTGTTTCTTGTTGCATGGTTTCCAAACACAATCTCTGTGTCTCATGTTCTATCAAACAATGGTGGCATTTCTGAATTTCCACCCCTTCAGCCTTGTGGAGCACCGTGCGGCAAATGAGTCTGCCTGGTGAAATGATGACACTTCACAAATGGACTCTGTAAAACTAATAACAGCAAGTTTTTGTTTGTGACTGACGATGTATATGCCTGTCTTTTGGTGTGCGTGCTAACTGTACATCTGTCTGGCCCTTCTTTGCGTTGTGACTTTGAAGCCATCAGCGGGCTCATTACCTGTCTCTGCAGAGGTCCTTTGAAACCCAAATTAGCTGCCATGCGGAGTGCCTGTTCGTCTTGCACACCTTCAAATATATCCACGACTTCCTATAAGATACGCAGCAAAATGGAAAAGAGAGAGACAGACAGAGAGAGAGAGAGACACACAATAGGAGAAAAGGAGTGAGAGAGAACAAGGCTCCAACACGGGGCTTTAATGTGACACAAAGCGGATGTTCATATTAAACTGCCGACATCGTAATTAAGTGGTGGCAAGCTGCCAGACGTGGAGAAAGGGAGAGTTGGGAGTGAAACTGAAGATTTATGATCATTACACCCTTGTATCTTTGACTTTCAGATAGAGGAGCTCTCTTATCATTTATTTCAGAGGTATTACATCGGTTGGAGGATTTCAGGGCAGTGTAGAAATAAAGTATAAAACTGCAGCTGCCGTTCTAAACAAACTAGATCTGGACAATGTAGATTTTAATACGATTTAGAAAGGTGCACTGCTCTGTCGTGTCTGTGTTAGATAGCTACAAGACAGCTGGGTGATGCTTTTACAATCTGAAATAGTGTGTGGATATAATAAACGGCATCAATCTCTGCAGGATCTTTACAATCTGCTATAACATCTGTACACTATAGAAAAAGAAGGATAAACAAAAAAATGGATGTGCAGGCCAACTCCATCTGTAAGGCTTTAATTTGACATCTGTTAGCTACAACTAGAACCTGTTGCCAAGTAAGGTGTACTGGTGGAGTGAGCTTTGTAACTGGAATCCAGTTAACAGCAGTACAAAAACACAGAAGGCCGAGTGTTTGCATGTTGTTGTTGTTTCTTCATTTTAAGAATCAGTGTGTGGCTGCTATCAATGGGCACATGTTCAGCTGCTGCATGAAGACATGACAACAAACTCAGTAAAATAATACGAAAAATACAGAGAACAGCTTGACCCCTTTCTTGCAGGATTTCAAAGTATAAAACTTTGATCAGATATCTGATAAGGATAGAGCAAAGGTTTTTTAAGTTCCTAAAAGACTATAAGTACATATTAGCTACATACTGTGTTGTGATCAGGGGCGGCTGGTATAAATTCGCCAGTAGGGCTTTGCTCTACATTTCATTTCATTACTACATTAAGAAATTATATATAAATAAATATAAATTATTCTTTAAATAACTCACAACAGATTTTTTTAAACTTGGGTGAAACCTAGAGTAGCAACTAAAACCTAATAGTAACAAGAATAAACACACTATATATCTCCAAATGAGCATACTGTTTACACCCCCAGCACTGTAGCATGATGATTGACAGGTGTCATGGCACGCCCCCTTGATGTCCTGATCATTTGGACTAAATTGATTGAGCTCACAGGCCGCTGACTTTTGACACAACTGTAGCATCACAGACTGCAGAGGTGATATGAAACTATCTAAGCATCTCTAAACATAAGAAATGATCTAATTAAATAAACACTGTTACGTACATAAACCATTTCTGAAGTTAAAACTGACGTCACTGGATGTTTATTCTGTTAGTCCATTATTGGCCATTTCTATTATGTTTTTGCATCAAATCAACAGACTAAGACGTACATCTTTAATAAGTATATCAAATAGTAATTAGCCCTCAGGTGGCTCTTTTTGCACTTTAATTGTACATTTGAACACCTCCATATTGTCCATACTAACTTAGTAAAAATGTTCATTTGTTGTCTTTTGTGTGTTCCTGCTTAAAAAACAAATTTCCCTTATTCGACAGTAAAGAATCTGAATCTAAGTACTATGTACATCTCTGTCCCCGCCTGGAGCATAATTCACCAGGTGTCATTTTTGATTGACGATTTTTAACTAAAGTCCTTTACCTTAAAGATGAGTTCTGGGGTGTTGGCTGCAACCTCCTCGATATCCATGCCTCCCTGGGGGCTTCCCACCATGACGGGACCATTGCAGGCGCGGTCCATCAGTATTGCAAAGTAGGTCTCCCTGGTAATGTCCAGGGCCTCCGCAACCATCACCTGCACATGCCACAGCGGGAGAAAAGAGATGCTAATATGCTATCAGCTTGACATCACGATTACCTCTTTAGCCCTTTTATTTAAATACTTACATTGTTCTTGACTTCCCTTCAGTATTAGGCAAACTTTTGCTCATTTATTTTAATTGTCAAATTACAGAATTTCATCAAGAAAGGTGGACCACATTAAATACTACATTACACATAATGGATAGCAAATAGGCAGGGACCATAGATCAGTAGAATCTATGAAGCAAAGCTCTAAGAAAAGCTCACATGCTGTGACAGAGAGACAGGAAGGCAAACAGAGAGAAAGACCAGCAGATAAACAGAGAAACAGAGAAACAGGGAAGCAAGCAAGCAAATCTAATTTGGAAGAAGAGAAAAAAAAAAAACAGACAGGAACTATCAGTTGTGTGGTGGTTAATGGGCTGCAGGTTTCCTGGATAAGGTGTTTGTTTGAACATGCAGGGGCCTTATGTTCAGCTTCCACTCTATCGCCCAGTGAACGAGGATGGATAGCTTTCTCCTACCTCGGTGTTAACAGACAGCGGCCCTATCTCCTTGTCCAAATGTTGTCTCTTCCAGTCACTCAAACTTTCTCCTAAGTTCTATCCTGTTTGACTTGTAGTCTGATTGTTCACTCTATCTAAATATATTCTATTTCCTCTGTCTTGTTCTTCCCTTTTACCCTCAAATCCCCCTTCCATGTCTCCTGCAGTTTTCTTTAACAACCATCTCTTACACCGCCTGTCTCATTTTCCCTTACCCTTCCCTCCTCTTCCCTCCATCAGGTCCATGACAGCAAATCCATGCACATGCTGAAGGTGCTGCGCCTTTTCCATGTGCTATTTCTCTGCTTAGGGTGCAGTATGGGCTGCGGGTTGATGTGAGCTCCATTGGCAGGTTGACAGCAAAGCTTTGGTTGACGCCTGACAGACAAGGTTGTGACTACCATGTTACGGTGCTAGATCCTTTAGGGACAGTCAACGGCTGCTCTTGCCAGGTCTGATTTCAGTGCTGCAGGTTGAAGATGATGTTCTTTGTGAGAGATTAGATGATTCCATCTCCTCTAGCTCACATCTATCTCAAGTTTGTACAATTTATTTTGTCGTTTTGTCCTCAGCATATGAAGCGGGTTGTTTATTCTGAGCTTGTAAATGTCTTGTTCTGCTGGTGCTTTCTATAAAAATGACAAGTGCGACACTCATTTGATTCCACCTGAACTCGGCAGTAGGAGTAGGAGCTGGATTTTGGGGATAGCAGGGGTAGAGAAAGCGAGCGTAACCAACACACCAGTCACAGACTGACAGCGCTTCATCACCTGGAAATGTCTGTTTTGAGGACGTACAGCATGCAGCATGCGAGTGGAGAAAATGATATTCCTGCTTGTTAGTGGCACATAGAAACAGTTGTTTACCAAGCACTTTATATTCACAGTGGGCCAGGTTCAATTTATGCAATGAGCCATAACACCAACCAGCAAACACCAGAGTAAACAACAGTGGACAGCTACTTTTTAAACAAAGTTTCAAAAAAAAAGAAAAAAAAAAAAGAGCCAAACTTCCCTCAGAGTCATTAATTTTACAGCACTGCATAACTGGACTCAAAATGCCTTGAAATTGGGTCAGAAAAAAACAAACAGGAAAGAGTAAAGTATGTTTCTTTTCTTTCCTTTAGTCTCTGCAGTGGCTCACCGTTTTCACTTTCACTCCATCCTTCGGTGTCTGCTTTGTAGTCAGGTTGAAACCCAGCATCTTATTGGCAAGTTCACCAACCACAGCAGGGCTGAAGGAGAGAGGATACAGGTCAAACACGCTGCTTCTCAAAGAAACAATTCTTCATCTACAAAACAATCCCTGATCAAAATGATTGATCTCTCTGGAGTTCTGTTCAGTTGAAGAGAGATATATCTCAGTATTTTCTGTGCATAAATAAGCTCCGTCCACACATGCACTGTACTCCTGAAAGTTTTCCAACATTGTTCAGCAGCATGTGTGGACTCAAATGGTTTTAAATTTAGTCACTCTGTCTTTATGCAAAGCCTTTCCTGCAAGCACTTTAGGAATATTTCAGCATGAAGTTGAGGTGAGCTAATGTGTAAACAGAGCAGGTAGGTAATAGTCCGGACAGCCACTGCATTAGAGTGGGCGGGCTTTTTTTATTTTATTTTTTATACTATATTAATCCCTGAGGGGAAACTTTGGTCAGTGGAAACCTCCTGCACACAAATAATGCACACAATGCAGAAGTGCAAAATCCTGCAGCTCATCTAGTGTCCGCTTGAGGCTGGCTCCAAGATCCCCTCATGTCAAATACACACACAGGCAAAAAAGATAGTTTTAACTGTAGAAATAAATGTGTTTACAATCTGGGACAAAAAACAAAATAGGTCTGATTGGTTATTGTCATCATGGGCACACACTGTACGGGTGGTGATTTTTTTTTTTTATTAAAGGGTTCCGTTTTGATTTTATGAGCGATACGTGTTATCCATAGCTGATATGATTGACAGGTGGGCATGATGTAACTGTTTGTCATTAGGCTTAAAGCCCACCTCAGCTCCCGCTCTCAGCCTGTCCTTAGCTTGACTTAAAGTTAGGCTGAGACAGGAGTTCCAGCATGGCGGCTGCTGCCGATGAGCCGCTATTCAGAGCTGTTATAGTGTGCCTTGCTCAATGGTACCGCGGTAGTACTCCGGAAGTGACCCGGCACCTCTACAGTCTCCAGACCAATTTTCATACTTTGGTCCGACTTAAATCCTCACCTAATTTGTCTGTACCACGTGTTATCCTCTTGTGTTTCTACTGTGGAACTCAACTCAGCTTTATTTATAGAGCACCTTTTCATACATAAAAAACATGCAGCCTGCACGAACTTCACGGAAGAACAGAGAGAAATTGAAAGAGATTAAAACAAGAGGAATTATTATGCGTAGTGAAGTGAAATCAACACATTCACCAATTCTGAACTCTCCTCTTGTAAGTTTAATGCAGATCCTCACCCAAACTAAGCTAAATGAGAGGGCGTGTGACCCTGACAATCTCCTGCTGTGAGGTGCATGCATGAAAGAGAACTCCAAAAAATACCAGGACCTGAATGTGCTGAATCTATCTAAAAAAATGTCAGGGGTGCAAAGGAGGATAATAACAATCACAATCAGAGATACTTCATTAATCTCGGTGGGGAAATGCTGGTGTTACAGCCGCTCTTATAACGTGAAGAGAGATAACAGATACAGTATGTAGAAGGAGGAATTATGTATATATTTTGAATATACACAGTAACAATATACATCACCATATATACAGTAGAAAGAAATAGGAATATGTTAGAACAGTAGGTAATGTAATTTATCCTGACAAAGCACATTTTGGTAAATCTACAGAATGCCATGAATGAACCCTTACTTATTCACTCTGTGTAACAGCAGCCCACATGCTGTATGCCTGCTCGGGTTCTCTAAGTGAATAGAAAGGGAGCCAGGGGTTGTACTCGTTCTTTGATGGATGATATAACGGTGAACTGTGCACTCGTGTCACTGTCTGGGGACGACGAACTTCAGCATATCTCACTGTGAAAAAAAGTTTCCGGCCATTCCGAAACCCTGAAGTAGGCTGACGATGATACATCTGTGGGACAATTGTCATAAATCACCTTTTTGTGGTTAAGGAGACAGAAAGAGATAGGGACCTTTACTAAAAAGATAGCACCACTTCAGTACATGGAACGCTGAGAGAGAGAGAGAAACACGGTGCCTGAGCAAAGGAAAGCTCTTTTTAAGATATATATATATATATATATATATATACCTTTTTTTAGCCCTTTGAAAAATGCACAAGCTTTCAAAGTGAGCCTTCAGTGGAGGACTACACTCAACACACTTTGTGAATTGAGACTAAAACACAATAAACCCTAATAAGGAGCCAAAAACCATATCAACAAGAAGAAGGAAAACTCAGTGAGGGGTGCAAAACACTTAAACTTTTCAACACATAATTGAGGGTAGTTCTCGAAAAAAAACGAGACATTGCAAGACAGAATAACTGTTTATCTGCAGCACAAGTAATCCTGACAGTGCCTTTGAGTCTAGGAAACATCTTCAGAGAGCTGTTTGAGCCTCGTCAGTTTAAAAGCTGCTGTCGTGGAAGGAAAACAATGAATGTATCTTCTATAATAACTCATAGTGTGAAAATGCACAGAGGGGCATACTTACTCCTTAGTCAAGTGCACTCCTCCTTTAAGGCCGCTGTCGAACACACCCTTGCCTCTGCCACCGGCCAGAATCTGAGCTTTCAGCACGATCTCCTTGGCATCTGAAAGACAGAGAGGGATGGATTGAGAAAAGAGAGATAAACAGAGGGGAAGAGAGACAGAGAAAGAGAGTCGGAGCACTTTAGAGGCTCAGCACCTCGAATGCCCCTCGAGTCTGCCAGTTATCTGTCTATCTGATTGAAGGCAGGAGGGGAGACGAGACGAAATGTGAAAAGATCAGGAATTATATCAGGTCTGAAAAAGTTTACGATGCCAAGTTTTAGCAAAACAAACAGTAGAAGAATTACCCCAGCACCACTTATCACAATGTGTATGAATCACTGCACCTTCACTGTAATGCACAGAAAGGTCTTACAGAGGGAACGGACCGTCTTCAGCTATGTTATCAATTCTCTAAGGATGTTCAAAAGGGCTTTGCGATAATTGCTACAATGCTAACATAGTGTTGTTGAGCAAACAGAGTATTTTGAAAGTTCACTGTCAGCAGGTTAAATTCTCCAGATGTGCCTTCAAACACCAACCTGCTGTTCTTTTCTGTGTTGTTGGGAATATTTTCTGTGTTGAAGGTTTTCTCTTTTATATTTAAGTATTATGATAGATAACAATTTGGAACTGATGATGGTGATAGAGGAAACATCAGAGGACATTGGTCACATTCTTCTGGGAACTATTAATGCCCGTTTCCAATCAAAAAAGAAAATGATCTCAGTTAAAACTACAATCAACAAAGCGTATCCATTTTATGTGTTTCACTGGTGATTTTTTATGATGGCATTTTGTCACAATCTGAATGCAAGAAGGACTTATTTATCTGCATGACTGAAAAGCTTTCACATGACCTTGCTCACTTTGTGTAACCACCCAGCATCCCCTTTGCTGTCACAACCACAGCGCAAGAACTCGCACATCAGGAGGAGGCCCTTCAGCTGTCTATTCAGCATCCTGCCCACAATCTCCCTCTATTCAAATAGGGCGAGGACACTTGATGAAAGATGGTCTCTGGCTAGGTTATTATTATCTAGGTGGGGGAGTTCAGCCATTGACAGGTGGCTGCCATCAGGGTGGGAAGTGGGTGGTAGGAAAAGTGGAAGGGGATGATCCACGGTGAGATAGCTGGAAAGACATCATGACCTTGATGGCTGGAGGCAAGCGCCCTCTTTGACTGGCTAAAAGAAAGAAAAAAAAAACACACAAGAAAAACTATACAATCAAAGTGGAAAATGTCCACAGCTGGTGAGAAAAGAGAGTCTTAAAAGTCTGGCTGTGCTCACTGCTGCTGTAGTAAGAAAAGGCCCTCAGAGAAAATAGCCTCTGACAGGGTGGCAGGGATTAAACTAACACTGCATTAGTGAGACCTGTTCTCTGTGGAGAGTTTAGAGCTGAGGGGGGGGGAGGAGGGGAGCAAAGAGAGAGAATAGGAGAATAAAGGTGTATTCATATGCAACGGGCTTTGAGAAGATTCATAAATGAATAAATATGTTAATAAAGAACTGCTACTGCGCAAAATTTAAAAGAGTTCAAAGCGAGATGAAATAGAGTGTCCTGCGGGCATGTGCAGCGGAGAGGGACCGCACAAAGGAAATGACTTTTGCTTAAAGACGAGAAAAAGAAGAAACAAGCTAGAGAACAAGAATGGAGCAAAATAGGTGGGTTACATTGTTTGAGGTGAGCAGAAAGAATTGACATATTAATGAGGACCTTGCAAAAAAAAAAAAAAGAGCAAGAAATGGCTCTAAACCGAAGACATATTAAATATATTAAAAGGCATGTAATACGCCAGGGAAGTTAATGGGGTGAGAACAAGGCAGGTGTTCATTCCTGCCGCACTAGTAATTGATAGAGAACTTGCTCATTATGCGGCACACAATAAGATCTTGTTGCAATATCAGCAGTTGTGAATTGGCACTGGAAAAGCAATGTGCTGATAATACAAGCTTACTTCTTCAACTGAGGCATACAATGAGAGGAAAAAAAGATTCATACATACATACATAACTAAAAAGTCTACGATTCTCATCAGGAAGAATATCGCTGTAAAACCAAACTCAGCTCTCTGTGTGAACACATGGAGAGCATAACGATGTCCTCAAAGATCACAGCAAACATAGGGCATGGTGAAGAGCAGGGTGCACCATTATCTGGTAATACGACAGACATGAGATGGCCCCTAACACTCAGACAAAGGTTGCTCCCTAATGAGTGCGGTACAGAGTGGGGATTGGGTGAAAAAGGAGCCCCAGTATGTAGAATCAGAGACAAGTCATTGTCTTTTATGTTCAACCCAGACAGCGCAATGAACAAGGGCAAAAAAGGGTGCATGTCTCAAGCTAATAAGGAAAGGCAGTTTTAGTGTCAGAGATTGAGGTTTTTATGCGATGGATGATGCGATATTAAAACTGTAAACTAACGCCTGGCACACACCACATGATTTTTAAAAACCGAAACGATTTTGAAAATGTGAGAGACACCACATGACGTCATGACAGATTAACAGTTCAGTCCTAGTGTCCAAAGAGATGACCAATTGAGCACACCACACTCTAACCAATTCATTCACCAACAACCAGAGTCTCAACTATCAATCTCATGATGGTCAAGCTAAACGTGGCTAGCTGTTAGCTGGTACATTCACTGTATTGTGGTTGATTTTACAGGACACATGATATAAACACTTGGGTTGTGCCAGAAAATCAACAAGTCGGTCCTGGTTTTATGACATCCACCTAACTTTATGCTTCGCGTTTGCTGGTCGCCATGGTAATGTTTGTTGTGCTTCCTGCTTCAGTCAGCTTGCTTCCCTGTTGGCTATTGTTCTGTTCCACATGAAAATTCCCAGAGTCCGTGCTCGGTCTTCCTCTGTGTTCTCCCCACACAACAGGATTTCTGATCGTAAATATTGATCACTTTTTTAATAGTTACGATTTCAAATCAGGGCGGCCCAGAATCGTTTTACGAGCAGATTGGGGAGGTTGCAAACACTCTTAACACACCTCACACCACAGGAGAATCTGGCAAGATAATCGTTGGATCCATCAGATAGTCGGGTCTTTGCTGACTTTGGTCGTAAGGAGGGAATCAGGCCGACAATTGGCCAGATTATCTTGTAGTGTGCACTCCACTTAAGAGGTCACTCTAATAAAGGGCATTCCATTCTAACTGTGCGGACAGAAAAATGCCGTTTATATTGTCCAAGATGCGTCCTTAAATGGATGTTTTCATTCCTGTAAAGGCATAATTAGCAGAGATACATAAGAGATCATTCCTGAACTTGCCGTAGCCTCGATAATTAGAATTACCTCCTGCAGAAAGTGCTTTGGTTATTAGTTGAATGAAAATACTTTTCTTGGGGGGGGGGGAGGGAGCTGTGGTTGCATAATCAGTTCCTCCACTTCCATTAGAATCCTTCATGGCCCACTGTGAAGATGCAAAGAAAGATTTCCATCTCCATTTATTTCTCTATATCTTGGGGACACAGGGGGGGGGGATTAACTTTGCAAAACATCTCCAGTCATATCACATGCGATGGGAGTAATGTGGTCATCATCCCCAGGCCACACTCATTTTCCAATAATGAGTACAAATCAACTCCTAGTCTGCTTTGCTGTGACAGCAGCTGGCAAGGAGGTTGTTACTTCTACAATCAGTGTCCTTTCCACCCTCTGTCTCATTCCCTCCTTAGAAAGACCTTTTCTCGTTTCACCCCGTTCTCTTTTTCCATGTAGTCCACTAGTGGCTAGCAGGAATTTTGGCTTAGGTCTGACTTTTAATTAAGCCTCTGAGGCTGCGTCATGAGGGGGATACTGGCTGGTAGGGGACAGATGTGGGCTTTGTGCCAATGCAGAGAGTGTAAAGATGTGGCTACCATCTGTGTTAAAGGAGGAAAAGATCAGGACGACCATCCCCAGCGTGCATTTGTGCAGAAATGAAAGTAATGTGGCGGCTAAATGGGTAGACTAATAAAACTCTTGGGAATGGGAGAGGAAACAAACACTAGCGTAGCACAGAGAGCCGGAGCCCTCCTATAGATAAATGTCATTAACACTTAAGGGGAAAACCACTAAAGAAGACTTTTTCAGCATCTGTGCTCATAAAGACAGCACACCTCGTGGTTATAACGCAGGAAGAGTTTTGATTGCTGCCAAACAGGCGGAAATGAGTCTTTAGAGAATAGAGAGTCTGGAATCGCGAACAAGGCTATTCAAATAAGTAATGGAGACCTAAATATTCTTTCTTGGTATTTTTTTGTTGGACTAGTAGGTTTCCAGCAGCTGAAATAGAATGCATTATTCAGGGGTATTCCAGGACTATGCGTAGAAAGAACAACAATCTGTGCTTCCATTTGCTTCCATCGAGTGGCACATGGCGTGTCTTTAAATAACTTCAATTATGTTGTCAACTACATATTGATGGCTGCATAAAGCTACTGGAGCAGCTCGAGCTTTTGACTCACTTCCCCACAGGGCTCTTAGCTGTGCCACATTCATGGCTGACTAATACTGGGCACAATGAAATCATAATCTCATACAGCACAAACTGAACCATATAGCCAAAGAGCAATATCAATGAGTGAAAATAGAAACACCTTACAATAAGAGAAGAGCAGACAATTAAATATGGCATGCTGTTGTTTTCCCCTGAATGTGTACAAAAAAGGTCAAATATAATTCCAGTTTAATGTTTGGTGTAATAGCCCTGCCAGCACGTTATGTTTTAATTACACCTTTGGAAGCAGCAAATGGAACAGTTAAGTGTTTAAGGTTAAGACTCCTTGTGAGGTTTTATTTGTTCTCCGTGGATGCTGCTGTGCTCTCCAACAAGTTCAGCTTTTCATAAACTTTTACCATTTCTGTTTCTGCCAGAATCAAAAAAGGGTCACGCAGAAAACGGGTCTCCATTCATGCGGAGATAGCAGGTGAACCAAACGAAAAAAATAAAACCATCAGTGTTCCAATCCACTTTGACACAACGGCTCTGGAATTCTAAGGGCTTAGAAAAATGATCTGTGGTTTTTCGGTTGAGGTTGAAGAGTGAACAGAAAATG